AGAGAGAGAGAGAGAGAGAGAGAGAGAGAGAGAGAGAGAGAGAGAGAGAGAGGGAGAGAAAGGGAGAGAGAATGTAATAAATATAACAATATAAATGGAGAAGTTCTTACTTGACTTTCCCGCCGCAGAATTGGCAATGCGCGCCCTGCCATCCTTCGCGGCATACGCAGGTGCCATTGACACAGTCGCCGTTTAGGCAGCTGTCGGCGTCGCAGCCCGTGTCCGCGGTCGGCGACGACGAGGAAGTGGAAGCGGCGGCGCTTACGTGCACCACCCAGTAGCAGACCAGAGCCGCCCACAGTAACGGCCACGATACCGCGATCGCGTCATGCCACCACCGCCGTCGCTGCCGGCAATCTCGGCGCACCGCGACCTCGTCGCGACGGAACAGCCGCCACTGCCCTTTCCGACGGTACTTGGACTTATATAGGAACAAAAACATCTGCACGACCTCTGCCATTTTGGTAGGCTTCCATGTCAGAGACAATGGCCGACGGCGACGCACCGAGCGGGGACGCGCATACGGCGTACCGCGATGCTCCGATGCCGATGCCGATGCCGCTGCTGATGATGCTGCTGTTGTCGCTGTTGCTACCGTCAAAGTAGTAGTGGTGGTAGTCGTCGTCGTCGTTGTTGTTGTCGTCGTCGTTGTCGTCGCCGTCGTCGCCGTCGCCGCCGCCGATACTGCCGCTTCTCTCTTGGCCGCCTTTAGCGCTGCTTCTTTCCGCGACCGCGCGACTCGTCGACTCGCCCGACGCGACTCGCTCTACTGCCTGCGCTGCGCGCTGGCCGACTCCGAGAGAGAGAGAGCGGCGGCCGCCACCGCCGCGCCACGGTGCGTGCCATAGACTTCCATATACTACCCTGGATCGCCAACGCGTCCATATGTATGTACGTAGTACGTATGTATGTATGTATGTACGGAGCGCATAGAGACGCGAGATGCCGGTGAATTTGCAATATTTAGCGGCAGCCATATTTAGCTCCCAGACGGTGGCTCACTGGATGTCGTGAAATTCGACGTATCACGACTTCGCGTTGCGTCGTTATCATCAAGCGGAAAATACCTCGAGACACACGATTGCTCGAAGAGAAGCGTTGATCTTCTCCCTGCTGAGATCTATTTACTTCTAGCACCGATGAGATGTTAATAAAGACGGTCGACCCTGGATAAATTTTCGAACTAACAGAAAAACTCGAAGGGTAATTGAAGAAAGGTAGTACTATCGACCATTTTTAGCAATCCGATGTAAATGCATAGACATTTAATGCGTGTGTATATACGAAATACATACAATTTTACAATTTACGACTATCTTGATGTTTCATCATTATGTATGCAGACTTACAATGAAGTATATTAAATATTTGGATAAAACTGCATTTTTGTAGTTCTCGCTTACATTGTCTTTACATAAATTTCGAACGACACATTTACCAACAAAAGATTATTTAATAATCTTTTTTTTCTGGTTCGCTAAACCCCGCGAGACCAACGGCATTATCGAGTGGTACTCTGCCTGTAGGTAACTACAGCGAACGTCTTTACTTGCCGAGCAACTCGCTGTTTTACCGACGACGAAGGAATGAAGAGAACGTAATTCTCGCTATTGCCGCATCTAACTGCGATCGAAGCGCGGTGCAAGACGAATACGCCATATTGAGAGAGGCGAGTGTTGACCGAATGAACGCGCGGCCTAGGTGTTTACGCGGTTCCGGGTTAAAGCCGTGGTAAGTGCGAATCGATCCCGTGCCGTTCGTCTGGCGTACGCACGACGTGAAGACGCTGCGCCGTGACATGCGTGCTACTCGAGCGCAGAGCGCTGACATGAGCGGCAGCGACGGTGAGGACGGACCGCGTGAGAGAAGCATCGCCAGCACGAACAGCATCGCCACCGGGAAAAACGGCGAACTCACGATGGAAGACATTCCAGTGGGAACGGCGGCAATAATAAGGAAGCTGATCGGGATGAACGTCAACGAGGAGTCGTTGTTCGACGAGGACGCCGTTGCCGTCGGCGACCACGATTCCACGCGGAAGCGTCGCGACGCGAACGCGCCAAACGACCACGAGGACGGGGACGTGCGCGTCACCACGGACTCCGCTCAGACCGGGGTACGCTGCTCTCGGAGACTTCCCTTGAATCATATCATATAGCACAATGCTGTACGCGACAGCTGATTGCTTCATTCTAGTCCAATTAATTTAATTCGACGGCTAATCGGCCGAAGTTCCCCGCTAGCACTTGTAGAACCAACCCACTTGAAGTTAAGAATATAGTCACGGACCAAAGGATCATTGATTCTTTTTTCTTTTTTCTAAAAAAATTCAATACAATATATCTATGCTGTAATTTAGTATTAATCACTTTGATAAAAAATGATTTATCTTTAGATACTATAATCTTGTAGGATGTTTGCATTAGAATGACTATTTATCTCGAATAAGATAGCTGTACATGTGTCTCTATGACTGTAAAACCATGTGTCAAGATTCTTTCTCATAATATACAAGTAACGATTGAGTAATATATCATAACAGACAATCAGGTAGAAATTTATTGTATTGTTATTGCACAAGGTGTAATAATTGACAAAATTGGTGAAGCTTACAATGAGGAGTATGGAAAAGATAATAATTTATTCAAATAATGCAAGATTATATAACGCTGTGTCATGATTGATAGTTCTGATATTCAAAATCCTTGATATATCTTATGATCTTCTATCTTCCAAGATTTCTCAGAGACTTTGCATACAATCTCCTATTTTACAGATATTAATCTTTGTTATTTGTATTATCACTGCTCTTGGAGATTGAATGCAGAGTTTGCCACACAAATGAGTTTATTCATACTAATACGTTGGTCATTGCAGTGTGCAACGGTTGACAATGAGCTGATCAAAGCGTTCATAAGAGGTGTGAAATTGGGAGTCACTATGGATCGTTGTAGTCCACCTCAAATAAACACTGACACACTTGTCAATCCGTTCTCCTCTACGGCAGCTATAGACAGCACATCGCGCCACGAGAAAGAGTCCTGCTCCTGTGATACTTACAAAGCTAAACGGTAAAGATATCAATTAGAAGTCTATTGAGCTTCGGAGAGACAAACAAGAGGTATTAATTGAATATTTTCTTTGGATATGTGCAGAGATATGTTTAGAGAGGAGTTGCAGAAAGCTATGAAATTCCAAAACCTATGGATTGAACTGCGACAGTGTATACGCGCTACTTTTAACGTCGCCCTGGAAATAGCTCATGCGTCAGATCCTCCAGAGCCCCAACATAGATTATCTATGATCGATATGCACGATACTGTTATTCAGTAAGAAATCGTTCTCATTATGGATGCTCTTTGTAACAATGTTATTTCGTCGACTCGTACGTGATACCGACTTTTGTTGCAGATTATGTAAAAGGGATCCCCACCAGCTCTTCATGAGGCTAGTGAGCCAGGCACAGGAATTCGTGTTGGAAGTAAAAGTTCGGTTATTAGCACTTCTGCACGATCGTAGCGTAAGCAATTTAGCGGAAATTTTCCTCACTGGTTAGTAGCATTTTAAAGCGACATTTACGAAGAACACACATGGAATATATAAAAATTATGAGTTGTCTCTTATATAGGGCTGTTGGTCGACTATGACGCTCTCGTGTCGACAGCGATCCAGATTTCTGAGTTAGTGAAACCACTGAAAGAATATCTCTTCAAATTTAATTTGACGTGGGATTGTTTCATCAAAAAGTTATATCAGATTTACGTTTACAATGATCCTTTAGTGCAGAACAATTTACCTACGTTTATCAGTCAGGTAAGGTTGCATGTTTGATAATGCAGAAATAATTTGTAACTTGTCAAATCCTAATATATACGTTTACGTCTACAGCTGAGAAAACTTCTGCCGTTGAAAGGCTCGGAATACCAAGGTCTTGTTCATAGGTATTTATCTTTCGACGACGAGATGACGAGGATCGGTAATTTATGGCCTGAGACGGAACCATGGATGGATAAATACAAGTAAGTTAAAGGACATCATCCTGCTCGCGTCATTACACGATTACGTCGAACGTCTCGTATGGAAATGTCGTAAATTATTGCGAGCTAGGTTATATGAGCAAAGTATTTTTCAGTGCAGAACAAGCCGTTCGTATGACCAGACTTAGGCAGATCAGGGAGGCCTGGGAATTGTTTACAGCAACGCGCAAGCTCATGGAGCACAACATGCTGAACAAAACATCTGATATTGGAAAGTGAGTTATAGTCATGTAAATCCTTAATTAATCTTTTAATTTCTGATCTTTCCTAATTGCTTTTATAATAAAGCTCGTAATATCTTATTTCATGATTTATTTAATCTTTTATTAAATTATTTATGTAATCTTTCATTTTATGATCTCTTTCCTAATTTTTATGATTTTTTCTCTTATGAGAAATTTGTTTTGTTACAGTGAAATGCAAGAGATCCACGGGCAGTTTTCGACGCTTATTGCACATACGTCTGAAAACGACAGTCGCCCTTCAAGTCCTATCCTTGACTTTAATTCGGATTCTATAGCTATGCCGCCGAGCATAGAGATAGTCCAGATATTGTTGGATGATTGGAATAAGGCGCAACATCAAAAACTAGCAGATATAGCTGGAGCATTGACTGCCAGCGAAGTGGATGCTGTTGGACAAAATGATTCCAATGAGTACACACGTATAACAATGCGCCACTTGGCGCAATATGCCATTAAATCCGTCAGGTATGTGCGTTTATTTCAAATAAAATGAACCATCTAAAACTTAACATTTATATATTTTGCAAAACTTCTAACTCTAGGACCAACAGTGATGACTGCACCTGTGTAGAGAATGGACTCGACAATGGGAAAGAATGCGACTGTCATTGTACTTGCAATGGAACGGAAGTGGACCATACCGTAAGAAAATTATATCGTTCTTTTGAGTTCTTGTTGAGTCTTTTTCATATTCATTGTGGTTCATTAATTATGTGCAAATAAGATGATTATAGTAATGATTTTGTCTTCTATATTTAGTTTATTTTAGTTTTTATTATTATATTAATGCTAAGTAAAAATAATCTATCTAGATTGTAATATATAGTCTTTAGAAGGTACATAAAAATAATAGTGGTTAAAATATTTTGTATATTAATAAAAATCTTCTCTCAACAATTTAAGTTTCTATTGAAGGTAATTACATTAATAATTGACAATATGACTTTGTTGTAGACTACGCAATATAAAATAGAAAATGTCACAGAGGAGAAAGATGATACAAATTCTTCTCCGCCTCTTAGTAACGGATTTCCAGGTAAGAAATAAACAAATTTTTTAATAATAAATAAACAAATACCAAATATCGAAGAGATTTTAACGTGTTTTCAGAAGAACCTGTGAACTATACAGCGACGCAAGTTAAAAAGAAGTTAGACAATTTCAATGACGAAGAAACAGACAAGAAAGAGCCCGGCGTGCGCAATATTTTGCATAAAGACACCGTCACGAAAACACCGGAACCGGAGCCTTGTTCTTGTGTTTATCAACATGCGAGAGAAATAGCGGAAAGGAAGAAGGAAATTCTGGAAAACCCACCTTGTCCTTGTCTGCTGAACTCGAGGCGCAAATGGGACACGTGTCCTTGCTTGACCAAATGTAAATATATATAAATTATTTTATACTTTTTATATTCCTGCGATCATACGAGATAATAATATTACGCGTACTAAATGATACAACATTGTTTCGGAAAGCAGCTGTACAGCCTACAACGGTTCTAGCAAACGGTCGCCCCAAGACAATGTCGCCAGCTCCTGTTACGAAAGCCAATCAAGAGTCGAGCCAGAAATCTGCAGTAAAGACCGGTTCTACGCAATCTACGCAGACCCTAATGAGGCATTCTACCACGCAAACATCGAGCACGACTCACAATCATAACATGCATCAGGGTGAGTGTAAATGGCAGGTGGTTCCCTCACGTCACCGTCGCGTCGATCAATCAATCCGCACTTTCATACGTGTCTTTACGTGTATATTCTTCACGTGAAAACAGGTACCATTCATCCGTTCCCTCCTGCTCCACTGACGGATCTGACGAAAAACACAGCTGCATCCTATCCCAGATTTTACATGTATAACAATCATTCACCGCACGCATGCCACAGACAAGCCAATGTTGAGCACATCAAGAGAGTGTCGTGTAATGATTGTCAGTATATATGTACTGCATATATTTATCGAATTTATTCGTCGGTTACCGTCACGTTCTTATGTGGGATTTCAGTGAGTTCTGGGGATGGAGACTGTTCGGATTCGGTTAGCAGCCAGGAGGACTCTTGTTCTACCAGTAGCTCCGCACAGCGGGACGTAAACCGACACTGTGACTGTTGTTACTGCGAGGTCTTCGGTCATGGAGTTGTAAGTTTATTTTGCTAAATTTTCACACATTTAACCGGTTAAGTAGTCAGATGACTAATAAATGCGTTTTATGCTTTTAGCCATCGGTTGCGCCCGTAAGCCGGAACTACAACGAGATGCGTGAACGACTGCGGCAGCTGTTGACGAAGAAGAAGGCTAAGAAATGCAAAGTCGCCGGTTGTAGTCCGCCGAAAAGCCCGTCGGGATCGTCACCTCCTAATACTAATCCCGAATCTAAAGCTGCGGCCAATTCCGTTCTCAGATCAAATACTCCAATTTCGACGACATCTACAGTTCAACCAGACCAACGGGATCAACGGAATTTAGAAGAATTATTGGAATTCATTGAGGGCAACCATAATAGCAAGAAAGATAATAACAAAAAGGCCGAGAAGAAAGCAAGGCAGAAGCAACGGAAAGTACGTAAATCTATGTAAATTTAGATATGTGGTCTGTAGTTGGGGTTGTTACGTTAACATATTTTCAATTCTTTTAACAGCTCGAAGAGAAGTTGAAGAAGGATCGACAGGAAGCGCAAAGACAAAAGTTAATAGAGTTACAGAAGAAAACGCCTGAAGTAACCATCACTGTTGTCGATCCTAAGAAGCCTCCACCTCGGAGATTTTTGCCTCAGTGTGGTTTACCGGAAGTGTCTATCCTGCCAACATCTTCGCGGGTGTCTTTACCTACCATAAAACAGTTGAATGACAAGAAGAAGGATAAGCAAGAGGTTTGTAGTGATAATAGTAATAGCAGCGGCTGTATTAGTATTAATCGTTCGAATACAAAAACAAAGACGTCGTCTGCCAATTTAAATGCAAAAAGCAAAAGTACGGATAAGTGCGAAATACGAAATACGAATCCCAATCAAGGAAATAAAAATAACGCAAAAAACGACAAAGTTGAATCCAACAAGAGTAACAAGCCTCTCGCGAATGTTAACACCGTATGTACGAAAAACGGTTCCGGTAATAATACAGATAAATCATCCGATGTTAACCTTCTCGACAATAAGTTGACAAAGAAGGAAAGGAAAAAATTGAAAAAAGAAATGAAGAAGTTGGAGGAAGCAAAGGCGAAGGAGTCCGGAGATTCGGCGCAAACGGAATCTCAGCCGCAGATAGTGACTATTAAGAGAGTCCTCGAATCGAACAGCGTCGAGCCCACAGTCACGATCACTTTGAAGGGTCAGACACCGGCCGAGGATAAAGTATTATTCACTCTGGTGAATGGACAGACCAAGGAACCCTCTAACAAGTCGGAGCAAGAGCAAAACCAAAGCAACGGTGGGAAGAAGAAGAAGGTCAAGGCGAATAATAACAATAATGCTTTGCAACAAGGAAACAAGTTGCAGCAGTCGAACAATTCGAAGCAGCAGACAGTGACCAAAGCTGGCGATGGTAAGAATCTGAAACAGCAAGCGAATAATGAAAAGTCGAAGACCGGCAAGCAGCAGGCGGACGAGAAGAAAGCTCAACAGCAAACTGTCAATGAGACGAAAAATTCCAAGTCGAAGAAGGACAAGAAGAACACGGAAAATAAGGAGAACATGTTGCAGCAGCAGAACACATTGAACAAGACCAAGAATCAACAAAACGCCAACAAGAAGCAAAATAAAGTAAGCACGCCTCCTCAGACGCCGGTGTCGCAGAAACAACTACAGAATCATAATATTACGAACGAATCCACGACTGGTAAGAAGGCAAAGAAGCAACAGCAGCAGCAGCAGCAAGATAAAAATTTACAATCCAATTCTAATAAGAGCAATAAAAACATTAGTAATAATAACGCAAATAAGATAATGAATAAAAACGATTCTCAGAAAAATGTAAATAAGACAAATCAAACTACTACCGCCAAGCAACGCTCGCCTACGGAGGTCCAAAACACGTGTAATGAACGAGTTAACTCGCCGCTCAGCAGTCAATTCAAAGATATTGGTCCGAATTCTAAAATCGACATTGAAAATCTGAAGCTACCGCCAGGCATCACGATCACGAAGGTGGATGCTCCAGCGAAACCGATTCCTATCAGACCTGCTCCCATGCCGAAACCGGTGAACCCTCCTAAACAAACCACTATCATCGCTGCACCGATGAGTGGGGTGCAGTCAAGTTATGCCAGTTCACAAGCTGGTGGAAATGTCATTGTAGTGGACACGGGGAAGCTCAAGCAAGACTTGCTGCCAAAGACCAACGAGAAAGGTGAGTCAAGATTCTTGTAGCTAAATTGGGACGATGGAAGAAAGATATATGAATGTAAATCTTGCCTCTATGTTTAATCTAAGTCTATTTTATTTAACTTTTAAACGTTGAAGCTTTTAAAGAAAAAAAATTATATAATATGTTATCCTATTTGACAATATTAGTATTAACAAGAATTATGTAGACAGATTAAATGTTAAAGACTATTGTATAAGTGAATCAATATTGAAATTTAATTTTAAATTTAAATTTTTGATTTAATTGATTAAATTTTAAAGATTATTGTAGGTAAATCGGAAAAGGATGGAAGAAAGACGCGTGAGCGAAACTCTCTTATTTTTGTGTCTGCTTAATCTAAGTCTGTCTTGTCGAATTTTCAAACATGTTGGAGTTTTCCAAAGAAATTATATTTTATCATATTTAACGATACTGGTATTAACAAGAGATGTTTCAGCAGATACGGATATTTGATTCAATTCTCTGGTACTGTTTTAGATCCGCCAAAAGAGTCGCAAGTTCCGAACACTACTAGTAGCAAGAAGAAGAAAAAGAAGAACAAGAATTCGGCGAATAACTTGATGGCTTCTACGTCGCCGGTACAAAGCAACGATGCATTCGCGAACGATCACAGTGTAATCGACGAGCCTGCCAGAATATTGCACAATCCTGGCACAAATATGGTGACCATAAGGAACCCTTCATTCGGACCGATGAAAGTGCCGCCGACGCAACAAGCTGCCATCATAAAGGTGTCGGAAAACGGCATGGTGACGATCAGAAGTCCGGCTTTGCAGCAGGCGATCAATGCCGGCCTAACGTCAGCTCCCAGGCCGGATTACATCGTCAAGGGAGACATGTCCAGCAACAGGATGTCAACGACGATGACGTCCGACGGCGCGAACACGAAGCATGCAAATGGCGTTTTACCGCCAACCCTGGCGGAATTGCGCAGCCGACTAGCGCCAACCGACTGCGCGTCCTTATCCGGGCTGGCCAACATACAGATTAGCAAGGTAACGAATGGCCAACCGATACCTGAAAACGGTATCAATCTGAAGGGCACCAGTGTGACCCTGACGAAGGTGAAACAGACTGACCCGACTATGGAAGACGTGAGACAGTCGAAGAACACGGTGAAGGAGGCGATGAGTGCCTCAATTGCGGCTACTGGCAGTGGCGGCGGCGGCGGCAGCAGTAGCAGTGGCAGTAACGGCAAAAGCAAGAAAAAGAAAAAGCGCGGAGGCGGCGGAACGAGACAGTGCGGAGATGACTGGAACCTCGTTGGTGAGAAACAACAATAATCAGACTTTAACATGTAAATTTGCTTCTTTCATTTTGTTTGTTTTCTTTAATACACGCGCGCACACACAGACACACATACACACATCTCCGGGTTGCATCTTACGCTCCCGGTGCAACTAAATCCTCTTTTGGACAGGATAAAAAAACAAAACTACCCATACGTATTTCGGAGCAATCGTAGGTTCATCAATGCATTGACAGTGGCGTTTTCTTAAGTTTTGCATCGCCAGGAGAAGGCATTATCTGTACGTCCGTTTGAAGTTGAGGCTTCTTCTGAAAAACTTTCCAAGCAGCTGATAAATTTGTCGAATATCGGGTGTCCTCGAGAGAAAGAGGTACACAGAGAGACACGCTTTCGAGAATTGTTATTCAATTTCTGAGAGATCGTGACGAATCGGAAGAGAGACGAGTCGTCAATGAGCATTATTTTCTTTATTTTCCTTGTCGCGTTTTCCCGCGCTGACGAAAACTAGTCTCGATCGCGCGACCGCGCTTCTTCCCGTGCCGAAAACTGCTCTCCGCCGAGTGCAATTCCCATATCGTGAGCGTAGGACAAAGTCTATCTGTATGTCCTGAATGTAAATACAAACCGTCAGGGACTTCTTGATTTCTTCTCTGCTCTTGAGTGCTGAGTGCAAGCACCATCGTAATTTTGATCAATGTTACGATTCAGAAGATTTAGAGATATGTATATTTCGTGTATATATATGTATACATGTGTATATGTTTTCAAACATGTTACTCTTACAAGAATAGAATTTCGCGGCGAGTTCTGTGCGTCGTGAATTTTAGATCGTCTGAAGTGGGACTCTGTGAGCAGTCAGATCGATCGACGCACACGAAAGTACGAACTGCCGTTTGTAAATGAGACCGTACAATTTGTTTCGTTCGTTGACCACGACAGCGACACAACGTAGGTGGAATCTCATTGTGATAACACGACGATACACACGAGTGCGACACACATTCGTAATATACTACTATATTTTTTAATCTGCTGGTGACATTTTAAATAAAAAGGAGAATTACTTTTTTTTTCAATGTTATACTCTTTCTCTCTCTCTTTTTTCCCCCTTTGTCGTGCGCGAAATGTCTGAACTTTTCCCGTAGTGAAACGCTGCACGAGTATGGGTAGTCATTCTTTCACTCACTTGTTCCTTTATTATTTCATTCTTCCTTATTTTCCCCTCAGACGCGTTAGAGACGACGTCACTTTGCCGTCTGTGCGATCCTTCGCGGTAAATTTCACATATACACGCCCAAATCGGACATATTTCTAATTCTCAAAGATTGTCGTATTGATCGCAGTAACGAAAAGTCAGGATAAGATGCAACCCGCTCTGTTCAATATCGTTCTGCGCGATAAAAGAGAAGAGAGAAACACTTGTCGCCAGGTGGAAGGGTTGCCGTCACCGGTGATCAATTCATAAAGCACCGCATACGAATATCGCCTAGCACATAGTTGCACCGCATTCTGTGAGTTGCTGCTGCACATTGAAACACATCCCGAGTTTCGCGACTGAACAAAACTTGGCGCACCCACGGCGTAGTCGTCTCCCTCTTTCTCTGATCCTTCCGCTTACATCCACCCATACTCACACAAGTATACCCACCCTTGGTGAAGGCAAAAGAGAATGAGATAAACAAAAAAGAGACAATAACAACAATAAGAGAAAAAGAAAACGAAAAAGGAAACAAATGCACAGCAGATTTTAGCATTGATCGTCGCGCCGCTGTCGTTACCTCCAGTACTCAGAGCGTGTCTTTTGCAGAGAGCGTATTCACGCCCAAAGATATAGACCTCGAGGACGGGGAGATGGACGACGCTGAGCGGGAGCTGGAGGCTTTCAAGAGGTTCTGCCTGCAATCAGTGCCGCCGCCGCGCAAGGAGAAGGTCAATCTCAATCTCAAGGACATCGTGTTCAAGAAGAAATCATCGTCGTCGTCGTCATCCTCCTCGTCGTCCTCGTCCTCGTCGACGGCGGCGGCGACAGCGGCGGCGACGACGACCGCCACCGTGATAGCAGCCAATTGATCTGTCAAATAATCTCGCGTCACTGTGCATTCGCGGTGCGCGACCAACTGCCAAAGTCGCGGTCCGATATGCGCCCGGGACGCGACAATAAGGACTGATTTGCGTCCACGTCAATGTCAATCTCACGTTCTCGTGGAAGGTACAAGCGCGACGCCTTCATAGGTGTAATAATAGCGATTTTCTAGCGCGGAAACGGAAGAGGAGGAGGCTCCTTCGCGACGCGCACCGGGGAACGATGGCGAGACGATCGCCGGAGGAAGAGGGAACGCGATCGCACCGAGTGTGACTCGCGTTCTTCGTGAATCCCGCGTTTCTCGGTGATGGGCGATTTGTGTGACGATTATTGAAACGCGAAGACTCGTGAATAAGAAAGACGGGAACATGGAGAAACACGACGCGAACGACCGCGACGGCGGAACGAACGACATCACTGTACATGTTATCTTTGAGTTATATTTAGGAAGCGAATTCCTATGTCGCGAATTGATGATGGTTATGATGATAATGGTAATGTTTGCGATGAACTTGTTGATCGTCTGGATCGTCGGTGTGAGAATACTGTTAGGCGACGAGATCAGTTGCATTTGTAAAAACGCTCGGCCTGGCCGAGACACTATAAATAACGCGATTGTTTAGTATAATCGTAGCGAGTGTCGTCGTCATCGTCTTGCGTATAGCGGCCAGAGAACTTCTATATCGCCGGCAGTTGGCGAAGAAGAAGAAGAAGAAGAAGAAGTGTCACTCGATACAATTATCGAACACGCGGAACACATACACACGTACACACACAAAGGCGTACGCATGCACATGCAAAGCGCGTTTATAGGCAGATAAACACGACGAACATATACACATACACACCTACACTCTGTCTCTCTTCTTTCCTTTATTTTCCAATAAAAGCAAATTCGCGTTTCTACCTATTTAGAACGTCTATATTACTTCTATGTGTCTCTCTGTATCTATATTCTCCTCGTACGAATAGTCCATACTATTAGCGTAGTACAACACACACCGCGCAGGTTTATATATAGACATCATTCAACAAATGTACGTCGCAATGTTTCTTATTGTATTGTAATTAAAGTACTTTTTATACGGTAAACACATGAGACTGAACGCGAAAGAAAGAAAGAGAAAGAGGAGACGGTCTGCTGTTTCTTTTTTACGTTTATACATAAATTTATTCATCCCCTGTTACTACGAAAGGATCGATAGATTATTTCCCGAGTATATACATACATATATATATAGGCACGGTTGCCGTGCCACCGCGTTTATCATGCTTTATATCGGTTTATTTCTCCACGGAAACTGTAAGTATATTATTAATACTGTGCTACGTGTGTGGAAACAAAGAAAGCAATTTAGTACAGAATTAGAAAAAATATGGGTGAGGAGAGGAAGAATGGTTCTGCGTCTCTCGGAAGGAACAGACATCCTTGGATGAAGAACAAAAAGAAGAGTAGCGTTCACACGCTAAGACGCATCGCTCTTGGATAATTTGGTGTAAAAGGATACGGGTTTTCGCGCACGTTATCGTTTCTAATTATCTCTTTTATTGACATTCAAGCAACAATAATTACACTTATAATGAGCGATATAGTAATTCTAACAACAAATAATCTCTATCGAAGTCACAAGTCATTATTATCTCGATCCAACTGTTAAATTAATCTCTCGTCGTTCGCGCAACATGGAGAAATACATTCGACGATTTATCATGCTGCTCGAATCGATTCTCTCAAAATCTCGCTAAAATTTCAACGATTGCGAATCTCAGTTTACACCGACTGTCGCGACTCTTTGCGTTTTCGCAACCAAACTTGCACAAACTTCCGAAAATCGTGACAATCGGCTGAACATCGGCGAGATGCAGTACGGATTTTAATCCTTGCTCCCTGAACAACGACACTTCCGTCCATCGAGATCAATTAACAATCTAAACTCGCGGTCGTATGCGGCGGGGAGAGTGTAACGGGTGTTATCGAGGAGATCGATCTTTCGATGGATTGTATCGCCGGGCTGTGTTGCTTGATCAACATGTGCCGCAACGATTGCGCCTCCTCGCGCAGGGTTACTATCTGCGCCTTTAGGATCGCGTTCTCGTGCTCCAGCATCGTCGCCCTCAGTGCGATCTGCGGCAGGTGCATTCAGCGTTACGTTAAATTGAGGCCTAGAGAAACGCTGAAGGTCGATCGTTTGCACACGATGCTTACGTGATCCTCCCTGATTTTGCGAGCATCTCGCGACTTCTTCGCCGCCTGGTTGTTCCGCTTGCGCCTCTCGTAATACTTCTCGTCCTTCTGCTCATCTGGGATCGGCTTCTTTTCGCTTCTAGGTCTCCGATGGAGGGTGGTTATACCGCTCGTGGTGATAAAATGACGGCTCATGGCACCTGTTTTGCAGTTGGTGATAAAAAACACATTATTGCATATCATTGCCATAAAAGATTAGGAAAATTTCTCTCGCGATAGAATTTCGTAAGAAAAGTCTTATTTTTACAAAGGAACAAAAAATCGCGCGTTAACGTTCAAAATTTGCAATTACTTTCCTTGTTAAATTTTCTTATTAAATCGCAATAAAGTATATCTATCGAACATTTTGTAATATTATATCCGATTGTTATTATAGGTCTATCTTGAAACCGTTCAAGTATTCTTGCGGGATATATCAGTCTTCAGAATATATCACAAAAGCTTAGTATTTTGCACATAATTACTCCGCATGCATAATTAATTAATAAACAACGTTTTTTATGCAAGGCGGAAAATAAAAAAAAAATTGCCCCGGGTGAGGATCGAACTCACGACCTTAAGATTATGAGACTTACGCGCTGCCTACTGCGCTACCGAGGCATCTGAGTACAAGTGCTGAATTAAAAATCAAGAGTGCTACAGTCCCGAGTAAGTTATCGATTTATCGAAAGTCGTTTCAAATGTCGTTTCAAATGTGAAATATCGATCGATACAAAATGTGAACCTACCCGTAGCGGGAGTGGAAAACGGTTGAGGTACGCTCAGTGATTGCATTAAAGGTGGCATCGCCGCCAGGAACGGCGGCTGAAGCAGAGTTCCCGGAAGCGAAAACGTCGTCGACAAGGATGGCGTTAAAGGTGAGGACGGGGAATCCGTGGTCACAGAATTCGTTAGAATATCGGGCTCGACGAAACCGTAGTCTCGGCCAGGATAAGTCTCGTACCTGCAGAGGTCTGTGAATAGAGAGACGAGAGAGCGTTATCGATTTGTTATCGGAATCAATACGATCAACCGATATATGTTCGCGTTCATCTCATATCATTAAATGGGACGAGAAGTCGACAGATCGTCGACAGAGTATGGAAACTAAGAGTTTAGACAGTCGTACGTCGACTGCCCCTGTGGCCTAATGGATAAGGCATCGGTCTCCTAAACCGGGGATTGTGGGTTCGAGTCCCACCAGGGGTACGCTTTAATTTTTTGTACACATTGCAAGTAAATGGACAAATAGATAGAAATGCTGCGTAGAGTTTTTGCTTAGATTCTCAAAACTCTCAAAACTCTCTTAGAAAATCAAAACTCTACATTTTCTTTTTCTGCAAACGATAGTTTCTGTCGTGCGAAAGAGATATCTTTCGCGTCATATATATGCAGAGTTGATATTTATATTTCAAAAAAGTATAACGTACTCCCCCACTCTCCCTTACCTTTCACCCTCGTTATACTAATTTCTCGTTTGTTCTCTTACATTTCACAAACGAAGCGCTCGCGCTCGTTCTTTCCTCTCTTTCTCCCTGCGATTAATTAGCCCCGTACGGGAGAGTTAGTTCGCGTTAAGTCGCTTGATCGATGGAAAATTTATCTGACACTTGGAAATTTCGCCCGCGAGAGTTGGAACTTTTACTTCCGGCCCGTGTATATGTATCCGGTGGCGCAGGATTGTGTGTATGCGGCCGCATGTTGCCACGTACAGACGAGGATGAAACATCGGCGCGGCCGAATGTCGTGATGATGCGACGACCGGTCGTCGTTCGTGTGCGAAACCGTGCGAACATTCGCGTCCGTGCAAATTGCGACTGTTACAACCGAGTCGTAAAATACGTGACGTTAACTGCTCAAGCAGCAGTCACAATTTTAAGGAACGGGACCGACGTAATGGCGATGCCGCGAATAAGGTAGCCGCCCGTAACGAGAAACGCGCTCGCAAAAATCAAATTGACGCGATTTCCTGGGCGAATGATTCGTATGGGATATTTCGACATTTCTTTAAAAAATTGCTACGACAGCAACGACAATATCCATAATTTATACAGCGATGTATAAAGCGACTCGTGCGTGACTTACATCAAACAGTTCGATGTTGAATTAAATCGTATAGATTCGTGAAATTTTTTAAAGTAATTATCAGTAATGTTATTTTTAAAGATGTATGATATCAACTATGAACTATTATTAAGTGACAAATCACTGCATGACTTATCTTGATCCTTGTATACTTATTACTAGCAGAAGATTTTAATAAAAAGCTTCAAATATTCGCGTTTCGTCGATGCGCGTGCACGTATTTAATAATTTAATAGAGTGTGTACAGTGTTTAATAATTTTTAGAATAATAAATATTTATCAACAAATGCAAAATAAATAGGAATAGTGAATTGAAAGAAAAAAAATACCTCCACCGTGACAATGCTTTCACATTGCCGTGACCAGGATTCGAACCTGGGTTACTACGGCCACAACGTAGGGTCCTAACCACTAGACGATCACGGCTACTGGAGGAGTTGGGAGTCCATTGGAAATATTCACTGATCCGGGCAGACAGTGATCGACTTGCTCATTTGTGCATGACGAGAGCGAACAAGTTGTTAATATGTCTAGTAAATGAAATCGTTATTGCTTAAAATTCACACGAGAAGATATATATCGAAGATTGTAATCTAATTAAGAAAAAATAATAACAAAATTTTTGGTCAGAACAAATTTTTGCAACATTCACTTGGTGTGTTTTTTTCTAGGTATCCCAGATCAAAGAGCAGATTTTCAATCATTTTAATCAGTTTGTTTTACAATAATATTAATCATTGAGAAACTTTTATATATTTGAAGTACTATACCTTTACCTTAATAAAGTATTTATATTTTGTTAGAATTTTGTGGTTTATTATCAATAGAGAAGAGATATTATTAAAGTCCTTAACAATTATAAAAGTCAATTTTGACATGTTTAAGAAATTTGAGAAGATTACTTGACGAGATGGGACTCGACACACGAATTTGGCTATAGGCCGACTTCTCACTGTGTCTACTCTGCCGAATGTTATTATCTTCTCGACAATAAATATCAGCTACGATCTTTAGAGTCTCTAGCATTTACCTTTTCGTTGTTTGTCATCTCATCTTATTTATCTCTAGTTTATTTACTCAAGAGAATTTATCCTTGAGTTGTGCGTGATCGAAAACGAGATAAAAAGCTTGCAAAGAACGTCGAGGAATCCGCAAACGCAGGGAACAATTTCAAAAAACATTCTGAGATAAGAGCTCTTTCTCTTTCAGCTGATTCTTTACGCACCTGAGTTCGGAGCGAAGAGGCTGCAACTCCGCAGAAGATGCAAAGCGGAGAATGCGCCGGAGACTGCGTTGCCGGTGCACATGGTCCTCGCATGAGTGTGCGAACTCATTTCTCGGCAAGGATATTCTTTCTCGTCTTCAGAGGCAAAGTATCACTTCGTTCCGCGCATCTCTTCGATCGAACGGTGAACTCTCGATCGCCGAGAGGACTCTAAATATCGCACCACAACATCGCGTCAGATCGCGACATGCCGCCTATGCAAAAGGTGAATGCTTCGAGAGCGGTCAAACCTCAAGAAACTTTTCAGGCATAGATGCCGCGATTGCCAATAACGCATTTTCCGTTAGAAATCGGGGAATCCCGCATCATTCGCCGAGGACAGTCCGCCGTCAGTCCGATCAGGGCGAGAAGACTCCCGTATGGACGCGACACGCGAATTCTTCCGCTCTTCTTACTTCACTCATCGACTTTCACGTGGATCAGAATTATTTCACGTATGCCCCGAGTAGTTTCGAGTTCCTCGGCCGAAATGGTTCCGGATTTCCTCGCCGACATTTGTGGAACACTCATCGCTCGTAGAACGCCGCGAACTCACACAGAGCCTCGAGGTTCAAGACTCGCGATCGACAGATCTGACTTTTGTTCCGCGAAGGGCTCGTCGAAGGGCCTCGCATTGAACGTGAGAGGCCGCGGGACATTTCCCGCGACGATTCGAACGTCAGAGTTCAGCGGCTGACTTCTCGAAGTCTCTCTCTGGCACGGTCGAACGGCACTCGCGCTCGATTCACCGCCGCCGCTGCGGCGGTCGGGCTCGCGCGACTCTCCGCTGGAGATTACCTGGCGGATGACGTGCCGCGTCACGTGTTGCAACATCGCGCGAAGGCCACTCGATTCGTCGGGTCGACGAATATCCCGCCTTCGGGAACATGCGCGTAGACCGAGTGTCGGTTGATTCGCCGCTCTGTCGTGCGCCGCGGCCAGTCAGGCGCGGCTTTATCTTGTCGATTGTCGAGAAAGAAAGAGCGGGGCACGAGCCGCCAGACCAATCGCCAGACCTGTCGCCGCCGCGCTCCACCGTCGGCACATGCTGTATCGCCGGGCCGATCTGCAATCGGCGAGTCATAATAGGTCGCGTGAATATCGCCGGCAATGTGCTAAAGCAAGCGTCGAACAGATAACTCAGCGACAAGAGCTCTATAACGCTCCCGCGCCCTCGGCACGATACTGATGAATATTAATGCGCTAGAATTTATTTCGACGTCGCGTCCTTATCAGGAGGGAAGGGCGAAAGGGGCGCAGAGGAAGGGGGAGGCAGATGAGTGCTCGGAATGAGCCGAGTTCGTGATTCGTGAGATCTGGTTCAGGTGTGACTCACATTCCGAACACTTTGCAAAGATTGTTTATAAAAGAATTTATAAATACTTGGGAATACGATGTATTATATGAATATCAGAATAATACGGTGCATCTGCAGTTTCGTACTATATCATTTGCTATGCAGCGAATAATATATGATGTAAGTTACGGATATAAACAATACTTTCAAATCCTAGCAGTCGAATGAAATCTACAATCTATAGTATCCGCACTGTTTGTAGAATCGTCATTCGCAGCGAGCCTCGCGAGTTATGAGCTCGTAACTCGTCGCCGCGAGAAAGAATAACGACCGGTCCCGTAATTTCAGATAACCACAGAGATTCCGATCTGTCGATCATTACGCTTATATTATCTGCAATTCGCGTGGTTCATCGTTCGGTGGTACACGTCGCGACCTCGATGACTGATCGCCGGCGCTTGTACGCACGTATCCGCGCCCTCGATCTGCAATTCTTATGACACGTACAATTTTTTGACTCACTTGTCACTCGTTCTTCGTCCCACGGCTGATACGAGAAATAAAAAGAGAGAGGGGACAAACGTGCGGTTATCTTATAGTCCTAGGACGAGTCCTTTGACAGAAGTAAAAAGAATAGCATGCACGGCAAGAAATGCTGTTGTATCAATAAAATTGACTAACAGCGCCATAATTGAAGCAATTCTGCTTAAAATTCAATAGCAATATTGCTATTGAAACTAAAGCTTGCTAAACTAATGTATAATGTATACGGGAAAAATGTTGTAGTAAAAATTACAATAAAATTTTGTAATTTTGGACCATATAGAAATTATGACAGAAGTTAATATATATTTGTTTCAAAATGTCATACACGTTTTTTATTACAAAATTACTGTAATTAATTAAATTATATAGCATTGAATTAGTATGTAGAATTAATTGAATTAGTATATAAAATATCATATATTCGGTGTTCACCGAATTGATACAACAGTATTCTTTCTAGGTGTGGACCAAGACTAAAAATGATAATATAAAGCGCTATACTAATTAACAATATTCCAAGAACTCAATTCCAAGTGTTACCATCGAGGGAAACAGACTGTTTCTCTGACGAGAGGAACTTGAATTCTGGAAGCCGCGAAGGGAAGAGCCCTAGGAGAAGCGAAGGCTGGAGGTGGCAGGGCGAACAAAACGGAAAGCCGGTGTCTCGTGAACAAAACGGAAAGCCGCGCGAAAAAGCGCGAGGTCGAAGGCGGGCAGCAAGTTTGATCGAATCGTTACGGAAATTCAGAAAGTTTCGTCCGAGCGCGGGCGCGAGTCGAGCGCGAATTCTTCGCTCGGCCGTTCTATTTTCGGAAATTACGATCTTCTCCTTCGTCCTTCTGGGAGACTCAGGGCCGCGATGCAGCTGTGCTGCAAGCACGGTCTCGAAACACGCGGCCGAAGTACATGTGTAGTACGCGTTATTCACGTATTACACGCGTCTCCTCTTCGCAGTACCCCTCTCGCACAGTCCGCCAGGTATATACGTATGTGGCTTCTAATGCGCCTCTGGGACAGTCAGCACCTGACACTTTCACGTTACCTACGAATGTTTAATGCGCCGCCGGTAATTATTATGAAGTAAATTACCTAGCGGCGTGCTGTATTAGAACCTTCCACTTTCCGAGCCCCCGCGCCCGGCTCGACCACCGCTTTCATTAATGTTGCAACTCCCCGTCCCTGTAATTATCCTCTAGTCCGCGATTAACGGTCAGGAGGTCGATTACATTCGCATCACCGCGATCACCGCGTCACCGCGGCGCGCGTCCTTTAACCTTGCCGCCGACTTCTGGTCGCGCCGTGTCGCGTCTCGATTGCGATTGCGACCAAGAGTCTCGTGTGTCTCTTGTTTTCCTCGTCATCGAGAACGACGGACTCGTCGTCGTCTCTTGCTCTTTCGGCGTGTCGTCGACTTATCCACGTACGAGCAGATTGCTATTGACGAGTAGGGCGCAAAAAGGGCCCGGGGATGACGCGAGCGATCCGCGCACCTGTTCGCGGCGCGCTGCAATGTCGCAGACCCACATAAATTTAACTTCTGCCCGGGCACGCACCCAGTCCGGGTTAAATAACGTCATTTAGTATCGTAATATCTAATTTACTGCAGAGCAGGGCGATGAGTCTCGGCGAGGGCCCGGGAAGGGCAGAGAGAGACAGAGACAGAGAAAGAGAGAGAGAGAGAGAGAGAGAGAGAGAGAGAGAGGTAGCAGCACGTGGTCGCGGTCCCACGACGCCGCAATTACAGGCGCCTTCGAAACAATCGTGTGTCCCTTTGGCAGAGTTGAACGTGCGCGAAAGATTAAACGCGTGTCCAAGTGATACTACATTATTCCGTGCCGTTCGTATGAAAAAGCTCTTTTTTTACACCTCGAAATACGCACACGAGATTTATCACGGAGTCGCGCTCGACTGAACACAATCACGTCATTCTCGATAAAACCTAAACTTAAAAAAGAAAACACTTCAAATTGATATTATCAATAATATTTAAGTAATATTTAATTAATTAATATTAATTAACTAGTGCTAATGCTGTTAATATTAACAATTGGGATTCAGGTTGACTTATTTTTTTCTTACTTAGGTTGTATATCTCAGAAGCTGTTACATATAATTTAGTTAAAGAAGAAGAAAAGAAGACGGGAATTTTCTGAATTCTTGCGCGCTTTTCGATAATTTGCAAAGGATATGTTAAAAAATTCCGGGGCATTTGGCTTTCTTTCGAAAGAGAAAACGAGGAAAATGCGGAAGAGAGCGAAACGCCGTTATCATTGTAAACCTTCCCCGCGAAACGTGTCTCGACGTGTAGCGCTACCATTTTCTTCATAAATTCCAATTCTCCACGCACCTTTTTGTCGGCGGACACTCTATCGCGGAACTCTTTGGACGGACCTCGAAAGAACGCGCACTCTCTCGCTTTCTTCTTGTTTTTGTCTTTCTCTCTGACCCTATCTCTCTCTCTCTCCCTCTCTCTCTTTTTTTATAATATTCAACGCTCGCGCGGAGATCGATTGTGCCCGTACATTACGAGCGCTTCTTGTCGCCTGCCTCGGATGCTCGTTATCATTATGTGGCTGGATTTGCGCGATAACGGGCCGCGCTTCCGCGGCAGTCCTTGCTCGATCGGACTGGTCGTGCGAACCCGAACACCTGTCTGCGACCACCAGGTAACGTGACATCACGTCACGTGAGCCGGCGAGCTGGTGAACGCACCCCCGAACCCACCCCCGACGACCCCGTGACGCGTCCTGCGGGTAATCGGTCTAATCGACGTCCCGTAGGCTCCTGTACATGCACGAAAGATTCGCGCGCACGTGTATTTCGCGAATGTATTTCGTCGTTCATACCACCTGAGACATTAAGATCTCCGTCTCCTGGAAGCTCTTGGAACGTTATTATTGTCCGCGAATCGCGGCTGAGAGGAAAGAAATTTACAACTTGTTTCAACGTAATGTCGCTTCGTGAGAAGTCCTAATAATCCCGAATCTTGAAATTAGAATTTCTTCAGTTTCTACTTTCTAGTACTACAAAATCACGTCTCTTATGGCACGTCTCTTATGTTACACTGAGTCAGCTAAAAGCTTCGCTTTGACTTTTGAGTCAAATCTGACTCTATTGTATCGCGGAAAAAACAGCCAGTTGCGGCAGCAAGAACTTGCGACAGTCATAGTCGCCATTAGGCATATATTCAGTTATGAAACCGATATAGTAAAAGTTTCAATTACAGCAGCAAACACACTTTCAGTAAAGCATAATTAGCTGCGGCAGTGAAATCTTCCTTTTTTTCGTGCGACACTCGCGTACGTGGGAAGTGGCCAATTTATCGCTGGGAGAGACAGAAAATCGAACTCTCACCTTCCAATTATTACACACCAAATACAAAGATCCATATATACGCCAAAGAACGTGTTGTCCTTTTTAACAAAACTCATTTTAATTACATCTACATTAACGTTCGTCATGATTCGGTCATGGCAGCGTTTCCGACGGCGAGGAAGAAATCTGAATTTTAGTAAAAGAGATTTCTGGTTACCCATGTTTCGTCAACACCTCGCGTCACCACGCTTCAAGGGTTAACCGGCGTTTTGCTCGCACGTGGAAACAGTGGAAGGCTTCTTCCTCCTGCCGGCACGGAAAGGAAGAAGCCTTCATCCTCACGCAGCGTACACACCAAGTTCGTCGTTGTACACCTCGGAACAGGACAGGGCGGTATCCAAGGAGGTCGCGTGTCTACCCCTTAGTCTCGCCTGCCCCTTGCCTCTCCGCCCTGGCTCATCCTCGTCCGCGGATCTACACCTACAGCAGGAGGCACGGATTCCTTTCACCCTCGCACGAAGTCACGTATCGTGACGCGCGTTG